AATCGTAATTGAGTTCCGAACGCCTGCTGTAATGAATACCAGAATCGGGATGTAAACTTAGGATCCCGATCACTGATTATACTTTCTGGTACTCCGTGCAGTCTTACAATCTCCTTCACATAAATTTGAGCCAGCTTCTCTGTCGTGTACGTTCCTTTCACCGGTATAAAGTGTGCTGACTTGGTCAATCTGTCGACCACTACCCAGATGGCATCGTAGCCTGCTTGAGTTCTGGGTAGACTGGTTACAAAGTCCATAGAAATACTTTGCCATTTCCATTCGGGAATATGCAAGGGCTGTAGGGTGCCCGCTGGTCGTTGATGCTCTATCTTTACTTTCTGGCACACCATACATTTGCTTACGAATCTTCCAACATCTCTCTTCATTCCTTTCCACCAGAAATTATTCTTCATGTCTGCGTACATTTTGGTGGCTCCTGGGTGAATCGAGTACTGACTCTTGTGGGCTATTTCCATCACTTCATCTCTCAAGAGTCGTGTAGGGACGACAATTTTCCCTTGAAAGGTAATTATACCTTGTTGATTTAAACTAACTCCAGGTTGATTTCTTAACCGTTTCAAACAATCTACGGCTTGTTGGGCTTCCTTGATCCTCTCTAAGAGTTCATCTTGGATTTGTACTGCGTAATATTCCTGTCCGCATTCACTGTTTACCACTGCGAGATTTAAATCTCGGAAATCTTCAATCAATTGTTGTTCGGCTATCATCATACTTGCAATTCCTCTGACTTTTCTGCTCAAGGCATCAGCAACTACATTCGCCTTGCCGGGATGATACTTTAGTTCAAAGTCATAATCTTTCAGGAATTCCATCCATCGGCGCTGTCTCATGTTCAGCTCCTTCTGATCAAATAAGTACTTGAGGCTTTTGTGGTCACTATATACTGTCGTAGTAGCACCGTATAAGTGATGACGCCATATCTTCAAAGCAAATACGATTGCTGCCAACTCAAGATCATGAGTGGGATAATTCTCTTCATGTGACTTCAACTGTCGAGATGCGTACGCGACTGGTCTGCCATTTTGCATAAGCACACATCCCAAACCCATCTTTGAGGCATCACAATAAACTTCAAATGGTTCTTCAGGGTTTGGTAATGTCAGCACTGGGGCTGTCGTCAGCATCTTCTTTAACTCCTGAAAGCAAACTTCGCATTCATCAGTCCACACAAAAGGGACTTCCTTCCTTGTCAATCGGGTGAGTGGTAACACCCGCTTCGAGAATCCTTCAATAAATCTTCTATAATACCCTGCCAATCCAAGAAAGCTTCTTATCTCTGTGACCGTCTTGGGTCGCTCCCAGTCAACTACTGCTTTGATTTTACTGGGGTCCACCGCTACTCCTTTATCTGATATCACATGCCCAAGGAATTGAATCTCGGGCAGCCAAAATTCACATTTGGATGGTTTGGCGTATAGCTGTTTCTCCCGTAATATTTGCAGCACGATTCTCAGATGCTCCTCATGCTCCTCCTTGCTCTTTGAGTATATCAATATGTCATCGATAAACACGACAACAAATTGATCCAGATAAGGTTTGAATATTTGATTCATATACCCCATGAACACTGCTGGGGCATTTGTCAGTCCGAAAGGAATGACCAGGTACTCGTAGTGCCCATATCTTGATCTGAATGCTGTCTTCGGAACGTCTTCCGGCTTGATCCGGATCTGATGATATCCTGATCGGAGATCGATCTTTGAAAATACTCTTGCACCTCTCAGCTGATCAATTAAGTCCTCAATACGAGGCAGTGGGTACTTGTTCTTCACAGTAACCTTGTTGAGCTGTCGGTAATCCGTGCATAGTCTCATTGACCCGTCCTTCTTCTTCACAAATAATATTGGCGCTCCCCATGGAGACACACTGGGTCTGATAAAATTTTTCTTTATTAAGTCTTCCAATTGCTTCTTTAATTCCACAAGTTCAAGTGGTGACATACGGTAGGGCGCAATTGAAATTGGCCCAGTTCCCGGTACTAGCTCAATTGAAAATTGTACCTCTCGTTCTGGAGGGAAATTGGTGATATCATCGGGAAAAACATCCTCAAACTCCTTAACCACTAGAATGTTGGACAGTGGTATCTCTTCTTCTCCTACAAGAGTTCCCATCATCATCATGGAGCATTCTCCTGTTTCAGGCGCTGAGTTTTCTTCCGCTCCTTCTTTGCCGATAATCAAACTGCGATTGCTGCAGTCAATCACCACTCGCTGCTTGGCGAGCCAGTCCATCCCTAGAATCACATTGATCTTCTCTAGTGGGAGGACTATGAAGTCCTGTTTGTACTTCTTTCCTTCATAGATAAATGCGACGTCTCTACATAGTAGGTACGCCTTAGCAACTTTTCCCGTCGCGGTCATGATCCGCATAGGTACTTGCAGTCTATCAGTAAATAAATCGTACGCTTTCGCCACATAATCGGCGACAAAAGAATTCGTAGCACCAGAATCAAATAGTACATCTAAATTTTCATGGCAAATATAGATCGTACCTTTGACCAGTTCAGCTGCCTGGTCTGCCGTGTGTTGATCGAGGGTGTAAACTCTGCCCATCCTTGGTGCTTCTTCTGTTGCTTGTTGGTTTCCCCATAGTGGACAGTTCTTGACATAGTGTCCTTCTTTTCCACACTTGTAGCAGTTTGGGGTTCCACTTAGACAGTTACCGTAATGGGGCTTCTTGCATTTTGGACAGTTCGGAGGTTTGTTGTTGTGGCTGTTGTTTCCCCGGTAGTTTCCGGGTCTCTTGAACTTGTTGTCATCTCGCCTGGGCTGCCAGGGCTTTCCTCCGTTGTTTCCTCGCCATGGTCCAGTCTTTCCTTTATAACCATTCCCGCTAGCTTCCACGGGTTTCTTCTGTTGGCCAATAGCTTCCACTCTTCTGCATCGATTGATTAGGGTTGCAAAGTCACATGGGTCGTTGCCGGCTACTAGCTCAGCAATTCTGGGATTCAGACCCCTTTGAAACTTCGCCATCAGAAAGTCTGGTAAAGGCATTGCTCCTCTGTACGTTGCCAATCTTAGTAACTCATTAAACTTAGCATGATACTGGTCCACCGTCATCGTTCCTTGAACCAGTTTGTCAAATTCTCCTTGTTTACTATCCCGGATTGACATCGAAAAGTATTTCTCCAAGAACATTTCCTCGAACACGGCCCAAGTTATAACCGCATTCTGCATTTCCAACGGTTGGGACGCATTCGCCCACCAGTGGTGAGCATCTCCGTCCAGCATGTACGTCGAGAATAGCACCTTCTGATCGTCGGTGCATTGGATAACTCGAAAAATCTTGTCCATTGCTTGCAGCCATTGTACAGCTGCCATTGAGTCAGGACTTCCTTGAAAGGAGGGTGGTTTGTGCTTTCTAAACGTCAACAGTAGTCCTTGGTTATCTTGACATGCCGCACCGTTTCCTGGAGGAGGTCGGGGTCCTTCACCATGACCCCCGGCTCCTGTTCCCGAGCCGCTTGCTCCGTTATTGTTTGCATTAGCAGGGTGATGGTGTCCCGCAACGTGTTAATTTGTCCTTGTATATCTTGCGTAGGGGTTCTTCGTGGAGGCATCTTGTTGTACATAGATACAGCAAATGGTTAGTGTTCCATCCTAATCCGAAATTTTGCTCTGATACCATAAATGTAACACCCCAAATGTAAATACATATAGGGTGCACCTTCATCATGCATTCAACGCGCGGAAGTCTAAATTTAAACTTTACGAATGCAAATATCAGAGTGCGGAATGGAAACACATAACCATACTTATTCCATATAAAATTAAAAGCGTTAAAACGTCAATACAAAATAAATAACACTAAACATTATTTAATGTAATCCCAAAAAGATTAACTAATCATAAATAAAAACATAATTTATGCCGCATCATAAGCCCAGTCATAATGTGGATGTGGTTCCTCTAGCCATTGTGTACTATAACAACCCTCATCAGTAAATTAAGAGAAAAGAAATTAATTAGGTGTCTAATTAAATTAAACACTTATTCAAGAAAATTATGTGAGATAAATTATTAGATTGAAATAATAATTAATAAGATGTTACAATCATACAAGTGTAATAGGATTCAAATATAATTATTTGATATGATTAAAAATATGAATGTCATTAAGGTGTAAGTTAGGGTTATTTTGGTGATTAGACAAAATAAGCCTAAATATGGATTAGAATGTATAATTAAATAGTTTAAAAAAAGAAATTAGTGGGTTCAAAGTATCTTTAATTTAATTAAATGGGGCTTAAATTAATTACAAAAAAAAAAGATGGGTTTTGATTTTATAAAAGTCAAAGTAGTGTAAATAAATACACTTAGTGATATTGCTTAGTCATAAACGATTTTGTCTCTTCTTTGTTACATGGTTACGTAAGTTCTTTTCTTTCATTAGATGATTGATGAATGTTGTGGAAAATTGATAAGAAAGGACCAATAGAAATTAAGATAGGTTAAGAAAGTTAAAACCTTTAAAGACTTGTATAATAAGACAATTTTGGTTACCAACCTAAATTCCTAATAAGTGTTGTCTATTTTCTTTCAAGTTACGTTGCTGTTATTTTTTCTAATAAAGAGATGATGAAAGTTGTTGTAAAAGAAAAGTCAAAGCACTTTAGGGGAACCAATAGGAATTAAAAACAAAGTTAAAATGAAGGTTTAAAAATTGAAGAAGCTTGGTCATCAACATGTTAAATAGGCGGTTTCTCTTTCCTTCTTTAAAGAACACGCTCTGTACTCTCTCCCTCTCTTCTTCCTTGGTCGAAGACTTCAATGGAGAAAGGGCAAGTTTGAAGGTTAGGTTCTAGTCATCATTTCACCTCGTGGTCTTCATGAAACATGTAGATAACTATGTTGTGAAGTTATTTCCAGATTTATTTTTTTGTGGGAAGCATTAAATCTCTTCTTTCCTCCTTTGGGCAGCAGCGACCTGCATAGGAAAAGAAAGAAAAAAAAAGACACTATTTCATAGATTAAAGCTTTGGGGAGTCTTCCTTGGTGATTGGAAAAGCTAATAGTTTAAAGCTTTGGGGAGTCTTCCCTGGTGATTGGAAAAGCTAGCCTAGGTAAATAATCTTCACTTGGTGTGTTAGATTTCAAGTTATAAAATTAATTGCTTGGATGGGGGGCTGTTATTAATAAGTTTAAACATGGAAATATTGATGAATTTTATGATTGATTATTGGTATTTAGTTGTTGGAAGTTTATATATGTTTGTTTTAGTTGAAAATAAAAATAGAGGAACCTTGTATATACAAAGAAATTTTCAGCCATAATGTGATTAAGTGGTGCCAACCATGTGTTTGCTAGATTGTCTAAAAGAAATATTGATTTCAAGTGATTGTTTGATGATTGCTTTAATTAAATTAAGAGTGAAATTATGAAGAAAGACTATAGAATCCTTTATAGGCCAATTCGGCCAAGTAAAATAAATTACATAAGACATATTTAGATCTTGTTTTTATGTGTGTGTGCGACTAAAAATATATATTAGAAGGTTACTTAGCATGAAACAAGTTGGTGTTAATGTAGTGAAGTTGATAGAAGTCTCAATTTGTCATATAGTTACTATTTGGCAATGGTAGTTTAAATAGGTACATGATGTGTTTGATTAATTTTGCATATGAACTCTTGTTCAATGATTGGTTAAAGATTGATAGAATACAGAGTAAAGAGTAGAGGTGGTGAGAAAATCCTTGAAACTCTATAAGTTCCAATCGGCTATTTCATGGAAGTGAATGGAATTATGTTGTCATTAAGCTAAATGGTGTTGGAGGTTCCTTGAATATGACGTAAGTGATTGAAAGCTTGAAAGAAAATTATGGAATCATTAAATAGGTCAATCGGCCATATAGTGCAAGAGTGATGAAGAATGATTATTGATCATGTAGGTATGCTTAAAGAATGCTTGTTTTATAATATAAAAGTTGATAAATTGTGGGGAACTTACATGGGCACATTTAGGCTATACATGTATTTTGGCCATTGAATGGTGTTAATTAATATTATGAGTGTGTGATGTTCCTTTGCAATTGTTAGTAAAATGAAGCATTAATTAACTAAGATGAAATGGTAAATCCATGAGTATATGTATATGTAAATATTCGACCAATATGTATTACATGGCTAAGGAAATTGATGTTAGTTTTATGTCAAGTTAATGGAACTATAGTGTGTGAATGCTTTCACAAGAGATAAGCTAATTAAACTTGATGAAATTATATATGTATGATTTTGGTTAGTAAGAGAAATGAATTAGAATGAGCTTATATGAATTGTTTGTCTATGTTTTGTAGACCGTAAGAGTGTATGTAAGTCTTAATGAGATAAAAATATGTATGGGTATTGGTGGTTGAACTAACCGATTAAGGGTCTATTATGACTTGTGAATTAAGAGTAAGACCTTGTATGCCATGAATTGTAATAAATAAAGGAATGTTGGAATCACAAAGTTAATGAACGTTTGTAACCGAAAGAATATTGGTTACTTAAATAAATAATATAATAAACTGTCATTAACGGTACGTTAATTATGGTAACAGTGAAAAGCAAGAGGTGTGAATCCCAGAAATTCGAACCCTGTGAGACGGACTACACGTGGATAGCTAAGTTCATAGTCTTTGTGTAAAACAAGTTATAGAAACGGAAAGCATTCAGGTAAGCTTTCGGTTAGGAGTTTTCTCAGCCTTTTTGTTCCGCCATGATCAGTGGCGATTATGGTTTCCGTATGGATATAATTGTTGTTAATATTGATACTTTGCGTAGTTGCATTCATATAGTGCATGCATATGATATTATTTATGTTATGATAAGTTAATATGATAGGATCTTCAATGAAATAAAGCCTTGGAAGTGTAAGTTATGGTTTCTGAACAGAGGAAACAATTATGGATATGATCACGGTATACATAAGGTATAGCCGATAATACTTTAGTTCTCTAATCATTATGAGTATGCTATTGAATATGATACGACATTACAAATATAAGATGGAAGCCTTATTCATACATAAGACATGAACATACTTAAGATTAATAAGAAAGTACATTATAAGAATAAATGAGAATTATTAGAAAAGATATATGATACAGAAATTCTAATATGGATTATATGGTGTTATCTATGTCTTGGTACCTGATATTTTCTTGCAGGAAGTGGACTCTTGGGTGGAGACTGCTCCATAAACCCCAAGTTTATTGAGATTCATTCTCACCCCGCGTTATGGGGATATATTTCAGGTATCGCAGCAGTTGACGATCGTTCTCGGGGCAAGAGGCCCGTGGTTGATGAGTAGATCTGAGCATAGATGTTGCCTGCTTATTTTGGGAGTCTGTTGCATATATTGTGACACTGTGATGTATTATGTTTATGTAGGTTGATGTAGGATGTTGTAGTTATGGCACAGAGTCACCTTTTTGATATGATATATATAGAGTTATGGATCATGTATGTATACTATTAGTCCCCTACTGTATATATGATGTTTTAAATCCTCGCGTAATAACGGGAAAAGTTTATTCGCATTTTTATAAATGAATTGTTGTGATTGTAACTGCGTTTAATATCATAATCAA